ATCTTTCACAGTCAAAAAAATACTGTAAATACTCGTTAGTTGATACTTGACATCTTTCGATATAGTTTTTTGTTTCATTACCTGAGTTTTGAAGCATTTACCGTTAAAAAAATTTTGTAAATACTCGTTAGGTGATAATTGACATCTTTCTCTATAGTTTCTTATTTCAATGCTTGAGTTATGAAGCTTTCACAGTCAAAAAGTACTGTAGATACTCGTTAGTTGATACTTGACATCTTTCTATATAATTTTTTGTTTCATTACCTGAGTTATGAAGCTTTTACCGTCAAAAATACTGCAAATATTCGATAGTTGATACTCGCCATTTTTCTTTATATATATTTTTTCATTACCTGAGTTATGAAACATTCACAGTAAAAAAATGCTGTAAATACTCGGTAGGTGATAATTGACGTCTCTCTCTATATTTTTTTTTATTTCAGTACCTGAGTTATGAAGCATTCACAGTCAAAACATACTGTTAATATTCGTTAGGTGATACTTGAAATCTTTCTTTAAAATTTTTTATTTCTTTACCTGAGCTCTGAAGCATTTACTGTCAAAAATACTGTAAATACTCGTTTGGTGATAATTGACACCTTTCTCTATAGTTTTTTTTCAGTACCCGAGTTATGAAGTATTCACGGTCAAAAAATGCTGTAAATACTCGTTAGGTGATGCTTAAAATCTTTCTCTATAGTTTTTAAATTCCTTACTTGCGTTGTGAAGCATCCACTGCCGAAAAATTTTGTTAATACTCGTTAGGTGATATTTGAAATCTTTCTATTTAGTTTTTTAATTCTTTACCTGAGCTCTGAAGCATTTACTGTCAAAAATACTGTAAATACTAGTTTGGTGATACTTGACATCTTTCTATATAATTTTTTATTTCAGTACCTGAGTTATGAAGCATTCACAGTAAAAAAAAATGCTGTAAATACTCGGTAGGTGATAATTGACATCTTTCTCTATATTTTTTTTGTTTCAGTACCTGAGTTCTGAAGCATTCACAGTCAAAACATACTGTTAATCTTCGTTAGGTGATACTTGAAATCTTTCTATATAGTTTTTTAATTCTTCACCTGAGCTCTGAAGCATTTACTGTCAAAATACTGTAAATACTGGTTTGGTGATAATTGACATCTTTCTTTATTTTTTTTCAGTACGCGAGTTATAAAGCATTCACTGTCAAAAATTGCTGTAATTAATCGTTAGTTGATGATTGCCATCTTTCTCTAAAGTTTTTTTAATTTCAGTACCTGAGTTATGAAGCATTCACAGTAAAAAAAAATACTGTAAATACTCGCTAGTTGATAATCGACATCTTTATAGTTTTTTTCTTCTGTACCTGAGATGTGAAGCATTCTCTGTCAAAAATTATTGTAAAAACTTGTTTGGTGATGCTTGACATCTTTCTCTTTTTTTTTTTAGTTTATGAGTTATGAAGCTTTCACTGTCAGAAATTACTGTACCTTTTCGTTAGTTGATACTCGCCATCTTTCTTTATAGTTTTTTATTTCGGTACTTGAGTTATGAAGCATTCACAGTCAAAAAAATGCTGTAAATACTCAGTAGGTGATAATTGACATCTTTCTCTATATATATATATTTTTGCAGTGCCTGAGTTATGAAGCATTCACAGTCAAAACATACTGTTAATATTCGTTAGGTGATACTTGAAATCTTTCTGTAAAGATTTTTAATTCTTTACCTGAGCTCTGAAGCATTTACTGTCAAAAATACTGTAAATACTATTTTGGTGATAATTGACATCTTTCTTTATAGTTTTTTTTTCAGTACCCGAGTTATAAAGCATTCACTGTCAGAAAAACTGTAAATATTTTTGTTAGGTGATACTGGAAATCTTTCTCAATAGTTTTGTAATTCTGTACCTGGGATGTGCAGCATTCTCTGTCAAAAATTACTGTAAATACTCGTTTGTCGATACTTTAAATCTTTCTCGATAGTTTTTAAATTCCTTCCTTGAGATGTGAAGCATCCACTGTCAATAAAATTTTGTAAATATTCGTTAGGTGATACTTGAAATCTTTCTATATAGTTTTTTAATTCCTTACCTGAGCTCTGAAGCATTTACTGTCAAAAATACTGTAAATACTCGTTTGGTGATAATTGACATCTTTCTTTTTAGTTTTTTTTCAGTACCCGAGTTATAAAGCATTCACTGTCAAAAAATGCTGTAAATACTCGGTAGGTGATAATTGACGTCTCTCTCTATATTTTTTTTTATTTCAGTACCTGACTTATGAAGCATTCACAGTCAAAACATACTGTTAATATTCGTTAGGTGATACTTGAAATCTTTCTTTAAAATTTTTTATTTCTTTACCTGAGCTCTGAAGCATTTACTGTCAAAAATACTGTAAATACTCGTTTGGTGATAATTGACACCTTTCTCTATAGTTTTTTTTCAGTACCCGAGTTATGAAGTATTCACGGTCAAAAAATGCTGTAAATACTCGTTAGGTGATGCTTAAAATCTTTCTCTATAGTTTTTAAATTCCTTACTTGCGTTGTGAAGCATCCACTGCCGAAAAATTTTGTTAATACTCGTTAGGTGATACTTGAAATCTTTCTATTTAGTTTTTTAATTCTTTACCTGAGCTCTGAAGCATTTACTGTCAAAAATACTGTAAATACTAGTTTGGTGATACTTGACATCTTTCTATATAATTTTTTATTTCAGTACCTGAGTTATGAAGCATTCACAGTAAAAAAAAATGCTGTAAATACTCGGTAGGTGATAATTGACATCTTTCTCTATATTTTTTTTGTTTCAGTACCTGAGTTCTGAAGCATTCACAGTCAAAACATACTGTTAATCTTCGTTAGGTGATACTTGAAATCTTTCTATATAGTTTTTTAATTCTTCACCTGAGCTCTGAAGCATTTGCTGTCAAAATACTGTAAATACTGGTTTGGTGATAATTGACATCTTTCTTTATTTTTTTTCAGTACGCGAGTTATAAAGCATTCACTGTCAAAAATTGCTGTAAATAATCGTTAGTTGATGATTGCCATCTTTCTTTAAAGTTTTTTTAATTTCAGTACCTGAGTTATGAAGCATTCACAGTAAAAAAATACTGTAAATACTCGCTAGTTGATAATCGACATCTTTATAGTTTTTTTCTTCTGTACCTGAGATGTGAAGCATTCTCTGTCAAAAATTATTGTAAAAACTTGTTTGGTGATGCTTGACATCTTTCTCTTTTTTTTTCAGTTTATGAGTTATGAAGCTTTCACTGTCAGAAATTACTGTACATTTTCGTTAGTTGATACTCGCCATCTTTCTTTATAGTTTTTTATTTCGGTACTTGAGTTATGAAGCATTCACAGTCAAAAAAATGCTGTAAATACTCGGTAGGTGATAATTGACATCTTTCTCTATATATATATTTTTTCAGTGCCTGAGTTATGAAGCATTCACAGTCAAAACATACTGTTAATATTCGTTAGGTGATACTTGAAATCTTTCTGTAAAGATTTTTAATTCTTTACCTGAGCTCTGAAGCATTTACTGTCAAAAATACTGTAAATACTATTTTGGTGATAATTGACATCTTTCTTTATAGTTTTTTTTTTCAGTACCCGAGTTATAAAGCATTCACTGTCAGAAAAACTGTAAATATTTTTGTTAGGTGATACTGGAAATCTTTCTCAATAGTTTTGTAATTCTGTACCTGGGATGTGCAGCATTCTCTGTCAAAAATTACTGTAAATACTCGTTAGTCGATACTTTAAATCTTTCTCGATAGTTTTTAAATTCCTTCCTTGAGATGTGAAGCATCCACTGTCAATAAAATTTTGTAAATATTCGTTAGGTGATACTTGAAATCTTTCTATAAAGTTTTTTAATTCCTTACCTGAGCTCTGAAGCATTTACTGTCAAAAATACTGTAAATACTCGTTTGGTGATAATTGACATCTTTCTTTTTATTTTTTTTTCAGTACCCGAGTTATAAAGCATTCACTGTCAAAAAATACTGTAAATACTCGTTTGGTGATAATTGACATCTTTCTTTATAGTTTTTTTCAGTACCCGAGTCATAAAGCATTCACTGTCAATAAATGCTGTAAATATTCGTTAGGTGATACTTAAAATCTTTCTCTATAGTTTTTGAATTTCTTACTTGAGATGTGAAGCATCCACTGTCAAAAAAATATTGTAAATACTCGTTAGGTGATAATTGACATCTTTATCTATAGTTTCTTGTTTTTTATTTCAATACCTGAGTTATGAAGCTTTCACAGTCAAAAAAATACTGTAAATACTCGTTAGTTGATACTTGACATCTTTCGATTTTGTTTTTTGTTTCATTACCTGAGTTTTGAAGCATTTACCGTCACAAAAATATTGTAAATACTCGTTAGGTGATAATTGACATCTTTCTTTATAGTTTCTTATTTCAATGCCTGAGTTATGAAGCATTCACAGTAAAAAAATACTGTAGATACTCGTTAGTTGATACTTGACATCTTTCTATATAATTTTTTGTTTCATTACCTGAGTTATGAAGCATTTACCGTCAAAAATACTAAATATTCGATAGTTGATACTCGCCATTTTTCTTTATATATTTTTTTCATTACCTGAGTTATGAAGCATTCACAGTAAAAAAAATGCTGTAAATACTCGGTAGGTGATAATTGACATCTTTCTCTATATATTTTTTATACCAGTACCTGAGTTATGAAGCATTCACAGTCAAAACATACTGTTAATATTTGTTAGGTGATACTTGAAATCTTTCTATATAATTTTTTAATTCTTTACCTGAGCTCTGAAGCATTTACTATCAAAACATACTGTTAATATTCGTTAGGTGATACTTGAAATCTTTCTATATAGTTCCTTACTCTCTTCCAATATTCGATTGGCTATATTTATAATTTCCCAAATTATAACAATTTTATTGAGCTAGAACTGAATAAGTTGCGTTCTATACACCAGCGATTTATATTTTTATTTATCTGTGTTTTAGCATCTGGGATTGGAATCATCTCAATTTATCAGCAGTGTGAACTTGCGGGACTTCAGAATCCGCGATGACGTAACAGCTCCTCTATCAGTCGCCATGGAAGACAACAATGGTCCTCCGCCCTCTAGTAGAGCACGCACTAATTGAATATAGCTCATCACTTTTCACTGATAGCCACCGTTTGTTTTTTCCCTCATTTGTTTTTGAGCAATCATGTACCTGAGCGCCCAAATATACTTTTTCGTGTTTGTTTTGTACTTTTTCGCTGTCTTATTGTCAATGAATGAAGTGAAGAAAGTTATTTAGGTCTTGTGTTTTGCAATTAAATTATTGATATCTTTTCACGTCATTTTTCATTCAAATTCAAAATAAAAGCAAATTACGCCCTCCAATTGCCAAGTGCAAATGGCGAAAAAAACACGTAAATTTCGTGTAAGTTGTGACCCTCGGAAAAGTCAAATTATGATTTTTTGACTTTTTTTTTCAAACTTGGCCCTCAGGTTATGGACCTGGTTTTTGATGGTTCCAATGTTCATCATGTTTTCCAATGTTCAGACATTTTCACATTTTCCTGTTTTTTAAAAAGTGTTTCACTTCTCGAGAACTACCCGGAAAAGTCAGGGAACTTCTATCGCAAAAACAGGTTATTAGAATCTTCTCGGTAAAAGTGGCTTCGATCGTAAAACGAGGTTGTGGGAAAAGTAATCTACCTTACTCAATTTCATTTTGAGTTTATTTGTAAGAACGGATAATAGGTATTTCCGTTACACTAGCGTCTAATCAAATTTTTTCGGTAGAGAAACAAATTACGTTTTGGGTTTTTGAAGTTTTTGAAAATAACGCATTCCATTCCGCATCAATAAAACGTATTTTAAAAAATATCAAACAAGTATTTCAATCGGTTCATAGTCTTAACTATAATTGAAAGTTGTCCTGTAGTTTGTAATTTACCAACATTGATTTTTTTTAGTTTTATTTTTCTTTGTTAAACGGGTTCGGCTTATATTTCATTGGCTTAGTCAACGTATCTTGCGTAGTTTTGAGGGCAAGTTTTTAAATGCTCTTGCTTTTTTAAGGAGGGATTGTACTTAGAAATTTTGATCGTAAAATTTTATAGCTTGAATTTTTTTTTACTACAGTTTCGTTTTCGGCTCAATGAGGGTCACCCACGTTTTTATCTTAGTTGATGCTCATTTGATTTTATCTCCGCTCCGCCTCTGTGTTTAATATGCGTTTTTTTTGCGCAGTGTGTACCTTCTGTGGTACTTGCACAAGGCATACAAAGCTTTTTCTGGTCTCTTTTAGTTTTACTGTTTGCTAATGATCCACTTTTTCCGAAATTTTTGTTGAATTGTTTTTTCTGTTAAATAAAATATAGAAGATTGAAAAGGACTTTTTTCATTCGCGGTTAAGCTCTCCGTCAAATGAAGTTGCAAAAGGTTGTTTTTTTTGATATTATAATAAGTTTTCGCGCAACGTGGGGCTCGAAACCACGGCCCTGAATTCAGAGTCTCTTCTCTACTGAATGAGCTGGCCGGGCCATAGGATGTTAACTAAGAGACTGTGTTTGCTAATGATCACCCTTTTCCTAAACTTTTTGTTCAATTGTTTTCTCTGTTAAATAAAATATAGAAGAATTGAAAAGTTTTTTTATTTGGGGTTAAGTTCTTCGTCAAATGAAATTGCAAAAGGTTTTTTTTTAATATTATAAAGAGTTTTCGCCCAACGTAGGGCTCGAACCCACGACCCTGAAATCAGAGTCCCATGCCCTACTGAATGAGGTAGCCGGGCTGTATGATTTTAACTCGGAGACTGTGTTTGCTAATTACCATCCTTTTTCCGAATTTTTTTTTGAATTATGTTTTCTGATAAATAAAATATAGAAGAATTGAAAAGGTTTTTTTTTCATTCGCGGTTAAGATCTCCGTCAAATGAAATTACAAAAATTATTTTCTTGAATAGTTTAAATTATTTTCGCCCAACCTGATGCTCGAACCCACGACCCTGGGATTAAAAGTCCCATGCTCTACCGACTGAGCTAGCCGGGCTGTATGATATAAACTAAGAGACTGTGTTTGTTAATGATCAGCCTTTTTCTGAAATTTTTGGTTGAATTGTGTTTTCTTTTACTCAAAATATAGAAGAATTGAAAAGTTATTTTTTATTTGCGGTCAAGTTCTGCATCGAATGGAATTGCGAAAGATTTTGTTTTGAATATTATAAACAGTTTTCGCCCATCGTGGGGCTCGAAACCACGACCCTGACATGACGAGTACCATGCTCTACCGACTGAGCAAGCCGGTCTCTATGATGTTTACGGAGAGACTGTGGATACTAATGATCACCCTTTTTCCGAAATTTTTAGTTGAATTGTTTTTTCTGTTGTATAAAATATAGAAGAATTGAAAAAATTTCTTTCATTTGCGTTTAAGCTCTTCGTCAAATGGAATTGCGAAAGATTGTTTTTTGAATATTATAACAAGTTTTCGCCCAACGTGGGGCCCGAACTAATGCCCCTGGGAATAAGAGTACCATGCTCTACCGACTGAGCTAACCGGTCTGTATGATGTTAACATAGAGACTGTTTGTTAATGATCATCCTTTTTTCGAAATTTTTGTTGAATTGTTTTTTTACTCAAAATCTAGAAGAATTGAAAAGCTATTTTTTCTTTTGCGGTCAAGCTCTGCGTCAAATGGAATTGCGAAAGACTGTGTCTCGAATATTATAAAAAGTTTTCGCCCAATGTGGGTCTCGAACCCACGATCCTGGGATTACGAGTACCATTCTCTACCTACTGAGCTAGCCGGTGTGTATGATTTTAATGAAGAGACTGTGGTTGTAAATGATCATCTTTTTTTCGCAATTTTTGTTGAACTGTTTTTTCTTTTACTCAAAATATAGAAGAATTGAAAAGTTATTTTTTCATTTGCGTTTAAGCTCTCCGTCAAATGGAATTGCGAAAGATTGTTTTTTGAATATCATGACAAGTTTTCGCCCAACGTGGGCTTGAACCCACGACCCTGGGATTAAGAGTACCATGCTCCACCGACAGAGCTAACCGGTCTGTATGATGTTTACTGAGAAACTGTGGATGCTAATGATCACCCTTTTTCCGAAATTTTTGGTTGAATTGTGTTTTCTCCTACTCAAAATATAAAAGAATTGAAAAGTTATTTTTTATTTGCGGTCAAGCACTGCGTCAAATGGAATTGCGAAAGATTTTATTTTGAATATTATAAACAGTTTTCGCCCAACGTGGGGCTCGAAACCACGACCCTGGGATGACGAGTACCATGCTCTACCGACTGAGCAAGCCGGTCTCTATGATGTTTACTGAGAAACTGTGGATGCTAATGATCACCCTTTTTCCGAAATTTTTGGTTGAATTGTTTTTCTGTTGTATAAAGTATAGAAGAATTGAAAAAGTTTCTTTCATTTGCGTTTAAGCTCTTCGTCAAATGGAATTGCGAAAGATTATTTTTTGAAAATTATAAAAAGTTTTCGCCCAACGTGGGGCCCGAACTAATGCCCCTGGAATTAAGAGTACCATGCTCTACCGACTGAGCTAACCGGTCTGCATGATGTTAACTTAGAGACTGTTTGTTAATGATCATCCTTTTTTCGAAATTTTTGTTGAATTGTTTTTTTACTCAAAATCTAGAAGAATTGAAAAGCTATTTTTTCTTTTGCGGTCAAGCTCTGCGTCAAATGGAATTGCGAAAGATTGTGTCTCGAATAGTATAAAAAGTTTTCGCCCAATGTGGGTCTCGAACCCACGATCCTGGGATTACGAGTACCATTCTCTACCGACTGAGCTAGCCGGTGTGTATGATTTTAATGAAGAGACTGTGTTTGTAAATGATCATCTTTTTTTCGCAATTTTTGTTGAACTGTTTTTCTTTTTTTCAAAATATAGAAGAATTGAAAAGTTATTTTTTCATTTGCGGTCAAGCTCTGCGTCAAATGGAATTGCGAAAGATTGTGTTTTGAATATTATAAAAAGTTTTTGCCCAACGTGGCGCTCGAACGCACGACCCTGGGATGACGAGTACCATGCTCTACCGACTGAGCAAGCCGGTCTCTATGATGTTTACTGAGAAACTGTGGATGCTAATGATCACCCTTTTTTCGAAATTTTTGGTTGAATTGTTTTTTCTGTTGTATAAAATATAGAAGAATTGAAAAAGTTTCTTTCATTTGCGTTTAAGCTCTTCGTCAAATGGAATTGCGAAAGATTTTGTTTTGAATATTATAAAAAGTTTTTGCCCAACGTGGCGCTCGAACGCACGACCCTGGGAGTATGAGTACCATGCTCTACCGACTGAGCTAGCAGGTCTGTATGATTCTAACTGAGAGACTGTGGATGCTAATGATCACCCTTTTCCCGAAATTTTTGGTTGAATAGTTTTTTTTTTGTTTTATAAAATATAGAAGAAATCAAAAAGGTCTCTTTCATTTGCGTTTAAGCTCTCCGTCAAATGGAATTGCGAAAGATTGTTTTTTTGAATATCATGACAAGTTTTTGCTTAACGTGGGCTTGAACCCACGACCCTGGGATTAAGAGTACCATGCTCTACCGACTGAGCTAACCGGTCTGTATGATGTTAACTTAGAGACTGTTTCTTAATGATCATCCTTTTTTCGAAATTTTTGTTGAATTGTTTTTTTACTCAAAATCTAGAAGAATTGAAAAGCTATTTTTTCTTTTGCGGTCAGGCTCTGCGTCAAATGGAATTGCGAAAGATTGTGTCTCGAATAGTATAAAAAGTTTTCGCCCAATGTGGGTCTCGAACCCACGATCCTGGGATTACGAGTACCATTCTCTACCGACTGAGCTAGCCGGTGTGTATGATTTTAATTAAGAGACTGTGTTTGTAAATGATCATCTTTTTTTCGCAATTTTTGTTGAACTGTTTTTTCTTTTTTTCAAAATACAGAAGAATTGGAAAGTTATTTTTTCATTTGCGGTCAAGCTCTGCGTCAAATGGAATTGCGAAAGATTGTGTTTTGAATATTATAAAAAATTTTTGCCCAACGTGGCGCTCGAACGCACGACTATGGGAGTATGAGTACCATGCTCTACCGACTGAGCTAGCAGGTCTGTATGATTCTAACTGAGAGACTGTGGATGCTAATGATCACCCTTTTCCCGAAATTTTTGGTTGAATTGTGTTTTCTTCTACTCAAAATATAGAAGAATTGAAAAGTTATTTTTTATTTGCGGTCAAGCACTGCGTCAAATGGAATTGCGAAAGATTTTATTTTGAGTATTATAAACAGTTTTCGCCCAACGTGGGGGC